AATTGCACAAAACGCATGATCGCACCGGCTAGCCTGGTGCGCGTTGCCATTTATTTTTTTTTTTGACATTGATAACCTTCTGTCGCTGGGTGGTTGTTGTTTTTTTTTTAAAGCAGGCGTGTTCAGAATTAATCTTGCAAATTTTCTCGAAACAGCATCATGGTATAAATAGACACTTTGATCGGCTTTTGCTTCATTTTCGTATCACTTGCCACTGGTGCAGCAGATAATTTCTCCATCCATATTTTGAGCTTCTCTCAGCGTAATTCTTTGGAGGCGTTCATGAAATAAATTCTTCCATGTATTGAAGATGTGATAGGGATGTGACTGAGTGCGGTGCCAAGTACACAACTAAAATAGCAGTTATATAATGAGGAAAAATAATATAAAAAGTCTTTGGGAGTCAAAAGCGGAAGAAAGCATGCATCCATTGGTCATTTGATGTGGATGGTGCATTTGTGGGTTCATTTTTTTAGCACTGATGCTCTAGCTGCCGTAGAATTTTGTTCGTTTCTTCAGACGCTTGTAAATGGAAGAAGAAATGGACGAGCACTACAGTGACTGCATGGATCACTTGTCGAGTATTGTGTCCTTTGACAGCATCACTCGGACTGTAAATGAACGTGCTTACGACACTTTATTGCGACCGGTAAGTCAGATGATTGAGGGCACAGTGGGTAAGGCTGGGAGTGCAGTTTTGTCCTGGAGCTGCCGTTTTTGCCTAACCAAAATTCTGCTAAATAGCAGCTGTAGTCCTGTTAGTGTAAATAGCCCCGTACTGCAGTTGCATACGGATTCTGGGAAGTCTCGCATGTGCCATTTGTCACTGGGTATGGGGAAGAAGCATGCATGGGACACATAAGACGCTCATCTCGGCGCACTAGTTAAAGCACCCATTCTTTCTTACGAAAATTCTTTCCATTCCTTCTCTTTTCCACAGCTACTTCCTTTTCTCTCGCAGTTTAAGTTGCAGTTCGTGCGTTTCGAAGTTCATGCATTGATACGAACTACACGCCGAGAAGTTGCCACTTTCTTGCTTCTAAGTTACCCTCAGAAGAAGGAGCCATCTACAGCCTTGCCAACGAGTGATAGCTGATGACGCGCACCTGACCACCGAGTGCTTCCACATCAATTAGCGCTGTTGTTGTCGGGCACAGTCAGAAATACCAGTTACGCCTCCTTCCCGCACATTTCATTCTTTTTGAGAAGCAGAGGCTTGAAAATGGCTCAAGTAAGTGCCATTTTCAGGTGCCTTCACTAGCATTAATCTCCTGATAGCGAAGTTATCAGCGGCTGAGAGAAACTTATTAACAAAAAATCATTTATTAGCTTCGGACTTAGCAGCAAATTTGCAGCACCTTGCCATTCTGAAATGCAAACTCACA